TTGCAAATGAAGCCCGGGATTTGAATTTCCCAGGCTTCATTTGCATGAAGCCGGCCGGCGCCATTTTTAAATGCCGGCTATTTCGAACCCCGTGGGCCGCATGTAGCCGCGAGGCACAGGGTTCGAACTAGCCGGCATTTAAAAATGGCACCGGCCGGCTTCATGCAAATGAAGCCCGGGAAATTCAAATCCCGGGCTTCATTTGCAATTGCCGATGACTACATTACCCCCGCTAGTTTGAACTATCGGGGTAGTGTAGACATACCCTAAGGTGCCACAAGACTTCTCATTGTTCATGATGAGGTAGAACACCAGAGTATTAAACTCAGCTTATATAAGATATAGGTCTTCAAAATGTGGCAAACATAGTTTTAAAAAGCCTACACTGGTAACACAAAAAGCTTATTCACAATCTATTGATAATTAATGCAGACATAAAAGCATTAATTTCTAAGTGTGTTAGTAAGAAAATTAAACGTACCATTCTTTCACAGTCACCTCTGTAATTCCTTCTCCAATATCAGAGAGCTTGAATTGGACAATTTGGCCATTTGAAACTTGATACAGATAATGGAATAAAAAACAAATTAAATATTAAATTTAAAATAACAGCTAGAAAAATGTTAATGCACCAAATACACTAGAGTATGTATTACTAATTAGACACAAATTTAACACAGACTACTAACATAACACAAATGTAAAATAGGTTACTTAAATATGAAAAAACTTACTAGTAGATGTTCTGAACAATCTGTGTTGATGACTAAACTTGAATGCAGATTTGTCAAATATGCTCATATATTTTGACTTTATAAAGCGAACACTGGTACACGATCTAATATGGTGAACACAAATCTGGAGGAAAAAATCTCAAGTATTAAAAAGGTAGTGTCTTACAACTGAAACTTACTGTAATGTATATAGATTCTAAATTGGCACAGTCTATACGTGTCATATGTACTTATATAACACTTATGCAGTCAAAAGCATAAAAGCATTTTGTCTTCACTAGTGAACAAAAATCATTACAAGATTTGGCATCAGATATATACTAGATATTGTTTCTAAGCAACTGCTATATGTTTTACAAAGATTATACACACACACACACACACACCACAAATACAGCCATTTGAAATATTCATATGCAAAATGCATGCTAGAGAGAATTCTCAATGTGAGGAAAAATCTGTACATTTACCTTTGTCATTATAGCAAGAATAGATGGATCAGAGATGTTAATTAGAACGTAATTGATCTTAGAATTGCTCTTCCATTCCCTTTTAAAATAATCTAGGATAGACACATCCCTTCAGATAGGTACTCTTTAACATCAACTTTATTAAATTAATTTATCATTTTAGGGTATCACTTGTATAATTTCTTTACATCTTAAATTATACTCAGTCCAGAAATCTAATTTAGGAATCAATACTCTAGTCTGTAAAGTTCTATAGCGGCATCATATAATCACAGAGGCAGTAATTTTGGGTAACAGCCTAAAAGCCAAGAGTGCTTCCACTGAAGTTAATGTGTATCTTATCATTAACCTCAATGGCAGTTAGATCAAGTCCTTAGAGACAGAAACAAATTTCCTACTTTAGCATGACATGTTTATTTTAATTTAATTCTGGTGTTACGTTGTCTAAAAAGGATCCAGAAAACTAACATAAATAACTTTAGATAAATTAACTTCTGAAATTTACTACAAAATATAATACTCCGCGCCCCAAACTCAGGTGCTACTATGTACCTCAAGCAGCTCAAACTGTAAAATTTAGACATTATCTTCTTAGAGGATCCAGAAAACAGGATACCTGCATGGGAAAGTTTGCAATTATGTGTTTTAAGTTAACATTTTTTAGCTCATAGTTCAGACAAATAGAAAAGCATATTAACTTCCTACAGACTAGTGGTTCTCAAACTTTTCCTCTCACGCCTCCCCTTACAGGTAATAGAATATGTTGCACAACTCCTCTCCAGAGGCTATACGTGGGGGGTCAGGGTGGAGAGCAGGTACTCGGGGCTGAGCTGCAGCCAAGACTAGTTTGGAGTGGAACTGGGGGCAAAGCAGGGCTGAATGGCACTCCCCATCCTCTTGTGGGGGCTGGCCTGGCCTTTCTATGCCCTCCAATGTGACATGCCCCACAGTTGGAGGATCACTGATAAAAACAAAGCATATTAAACTTCCCCCATTGACTGGGAAAGAATTTTTTTATATTGTACCTTTCATATGAAAGGTAATACAAGAATACTGTGCAATATGGAATTAGGCACTGTTCATATATTTGTTATGCATATTAGTATATATAAATTGATCTGCTATATAAATACCTATAACCAGTGCTTTTATTGTGACAGTACTGCTCGGTACACAGTACCGGCACCTCCAGACGCAGTATCAGTACCTGCAGTCAGAGCTCAACAACTTTTCCCCTGGAGTACCGAACCCCCCCCCCCTTTTTTTTTAAACAAAAAAAGCACTGCCTATAACTATTTTGTTCCTTTTCAGAAACAAATATTTATATAGCACAGGCTAACTCTAACAAGATTTCAGTGTCATTTTCAGTTACCTTTTAGCTACTTGTTATTGAGAGTTTTTGTTGAGCCAGGATGAATATGTTTTTAATTCTCCCTATGAATATCCCTTCCTGACTATTTTCATGACAAAAGTTTAGCAAAATAATAGTAACAAACTATAGTAGCTCTTGTTTTATGAAAGCACTTAAAGTTTATGGAAAGTTTGATTGCATTTTAATCAAATATGAATGACCTTTCTGCTTTGATTTTAGCATTTTGAAAGGCTTCTTGGTTACAGGTTCACATCTCCATTTAAGATCACGTCTATATATATATATGATGCATCTGACGAAGTGGGTCTTTGCCCATGAAAGCTTATGCTCCAATAAATCTATTAATCTATAAGGCGCCACAGGACTTCTCGTTTTTGTAGATTCAGACTAACACAGCTACCCCTCTGATACATGGCTATATTGTTTGCTCAATAAGGCTTATTCATTCAGAACATACCACACAATTCTTATCCTCTTATAAAGCTCCTACCTGGAAAATGCCCAATATTTACCTTAATAAATGATCACAAGCAGCAGGCTCAAGCCTCTGAACTATCACTAAATCTGAAGTTTTATGAATGGTTTCCATTTGATTTTAATATTGGGTAACCACCGAAGATAGTAAATTAGTACCGTCACTGCCAAAAAAATAAACTTGTTTTGGTACCAAAGAGTGTCAGTGCAGTTTTGAGTTGACATTTGTAGGAATAATTCAAAACTACTGCAGTGTTTTAAATTAAAGCTGGTTTTGGTTTTTAATACTACACATTCTTTACTAAAAAACAAGATGATTAAGATATTAAATGAATCTTTAAATGGATTATTCAGTACATAGTCTCTTTATACAGTAAAATACTCTTTTCTTAACTGTTCAAATCCACAAACGCTGGTAATTTCAATGCAGAATATAGCAATATTTATTGTTTCATTAAACAATTTATAAATTAATTTATTTTGGCATAAAATAAGTGATTCGCCCAATTAATGCTATACTAGCTGTAGCATTTAAATAATCCAACAAATATAGGAATATTAAACAAATAATCCAATCTTTGTAGAATTGGGCCTTCGTTAGAAAGTGAGTCAAAACAAGCTTTGTAGCTAAATCCAGAAAACAATTATGAAAACAAGTGTTTGACATACAGGGTTTGTCTTTACTGTACAATGAACATGGTTTCTTGGCAACCAGTCTGAACACCAGAGTTAGTCTAGACTGAGTATGACTGTTTCCACAGTAAAGCCATACCCATGTTACTGGCCTCACTGTTTCTGCACTCATATGGGACATATCTATGGTTCTTTATGCTGAGATATTAAGACCCAGACAATTGTCGAAAAACTTGTCTGTCCTTCAAGAGGAGTTACAGGAAGGGTATTGGAAGACTACCAGTACTTAAGTGATTTTGCCTGGATCCTCACTGTATAGTGGGTTGGTTCCTGCACAAGTGAAAGCAGCATTCAGATTCTAATATATACCCAGCTAGCCTGGATATAAATTACCTTCAAACCTGGGTCACAAGTTTTTCTGTGTAGATGATATGGAGGCATGGGCTAAAATCTGGGTAAGAGCCCACATTGACTGCACAGTGAAGATGTACCCATAACTATATTTCCATCACCACTGCCATTGTCTGACAATTACAGTAAGACAACAGTCATCCCAGGCAAATGCTAAAAATATTTCCAAAATAATCTGTATGAAGAAGACTGAGGCGATCCCCATCTCACATGCACTATTGTAGCCAAATTGTTACAGCATTGGTTCTGCTTGATCCAATTTCGCTCCTAGTGTATGTCTAGACTGCATCCCTCTGTCGGCAGAGGGATGCAGATTAGGCAGGTTGACATTGCAAATGAGGCAGGGATTTATCGCAAGGAGGTTTACAGGATCTGTCGAAAAAGGCTTTCTTTCTCGACAGATCCCCCTCTGGACGGCTGCTTTTTGCGGACAAAGTGCTGAGTCAGCAAAACGCGGTGGCCATTTTTATGCAAATTAGGCATGGGATATTTAAATCCCTGCCTCATTTGCAATGTCGACCTGCCTAATCTGCATCCCTTTGCCGACAGAGGGATGCAGTCTAGACATACCCTACATTTTTAGATAGAACACAGGCGCATTGTACTTTTCTCAATCTATACAGGCAGTCCCCGACTTACGCGGATCCGACATACGTCGGATCCGCACTTACGAACGGGGCTTTCTCGCCCCGGAAGTCGGGGCGAGAAAGCCCCGTTCGTAAGCTGCTCCGGTGCCCCTGGTCTGCTGGAGACCGTCTCCAGCAGACCATGGGCACCGGGC